AGATCTTCCATTTCGCTAGCCACGTATACTCAGACCCTGTCGAGCCTTCGCAAAGCAGCTTGCTCCTTAGCGACTGGCAGGAAAGTCCTTTAACTATAGTAGATCTCCGAGACCAGAGGCTGCAAGAGAACTCGCCGTTCCTAGGATACCTTTCCGCCTGCTCAACTGGCACGAATAATGCAGAGCAACTGGCTGATGAAGCGATCCATTTTGTCAGCGCTTTCCAACTTGCTGGCTTTAGACACGTTGTAGGAACGCTCTGGGCAGTATCCGACAGCCATTGTGTCGATGTAGCGGTAACTCTATATGAGACGCTTAGGGACGAAGGCATGACCGATGAGGCGGTGTGTCGAGGGCTATATCTGGCGCTTCGTGCACTTCGAGATAACGATAGGGATCTGGAACAGAGAAGAGACGGAAGAGATGGTTTTGTAAATATTGAGATCGTCACGGGCTGTAGCGACAATGGCAGTGCCCAGCCAATGCGGAATGCTATATTGTCTAACGAGGACACAAGAAGGCAGAAGAACCTGCTGTACTGGGTTCCGTATATTTACTTCGGCGTTTAGGTCTCCTTTTTGTTTGTAACTTTTTCAACAATAGCGTTAGGTCACTGAGGTTGGCATTCGGAGTATAGGCTTTACTTTAGTATTTAGATCAGCGCGATCGCTCTTCGGCTTTCCAACCGGGATGGTATATGTTGGTGCGTAGGTTGAAACCGTGCAAGTAAAGAATGAACGCGGCTTGATTCTTAGAGTGACTAGCTGCGAGCTTTATATACATGAAGGAGCGAAGCAGTCACGTGCTCGCTTTGAGAATGTAGTAAGGGGAATAACATAGTGTTGAAACAACGAAAGAAGTAAAGTAATTATAGAGAATAATGTGGAAAGAAAGATGGTATAATAGTGGAACATTCTAATATCTAATAAAAGTTGAAAAAGATACTAGCTAGCCAGCTCTTTATTTACCTCCTACCTTTCCATTATTTTCTCCGATTACGTCGAGCAACTTGAGCATCGCCGAGGAGACGCCCGGGCTTCAGTCGCGCCTGCCGATGGAGATGTCGGCGCCGAGAAGACCGGTGGCGAGCCCGCTGAGATTCCGGTCTATACCGCGCCGCTTCTTCCTAGGGCTCTACGGTAGCAGCAGCAGCGGCTCAATCGCGGACTCGTGTATTTGTCATCGCCCTCGGGCTTAGCGCCCGCCATGGTGTCCGGGCCGCGCACAAACTTGCGCACGCCGTGGCGCTCGCGGGTAGGGAGAGGTTGAAACAGACGAATTGCGGGGGGCAAAGCTGTATGTAAGAGAGCGGGGCGTGGGCGACCGCGTCGCAAGCCTTGTAGGCACCAGAATTGACATCGATGTCACAAGCCTTGGCCCCGGCAGAGCTCCCTACGAGATAGTAGATGCAGCGGTCGGCGAAGACGTCGTCAGTAGAGATGGGTAGGAAGCCGGGCGGGAGGGCGACGGAGTAATTGGGATAGGCGGCGTAGACGGCGGCGGCGCGCAAGAAGTAGTCGTCGTGCTCGAGGACGGGCACGCATGCGGGATGCTAGGGCGAGATGGTGCTTCTCGCAGGGCGCGACAGTGGACGCACGTAGGGTCGCCGGGGCCGCTGCGGGCGGACCAGCGATGGCGTCGCGGCGTAGGCCGGCGAGATAGTAGCGACCCTAAAGGCGCATCGGGCGAAACAAGCTTGGGGGCATAGTGTAGGGCGGTATTGAGCTGCTACCGCCGGACGCTGCTGGCGCGCTCGGTGAGAATGGAGCGTCTCGGTGGGTGTGTCGAAAGCGAGGTAGAGGACGGGCGTGTGAGGCGTGCGGAGAGGGCGTATGCTGGCGTCATGGACGTTCTCTTCGTGGCTGACGGGGGCGCTGCAGGACCGTAGGCGCTTGCGGACTCGGCTACCTCGTTCTTGGGGCGACGCGGCTGGACCTGATGGCCATGCCGCCCGGGACGGGGCGGACCCTGCATGACTTCTTGGTGGCCGAGTCGGGTTCGAGGGCTGCGCGCCTCGCTGGCACCGCCTCCTTCCTCGACGCCGGCGTGGGCGTGTCACCAAGGCGGGCGCGGTGGCAGCGACGTCGACCGCCCCGCGGCCGGACCTGCTTGTGCACATGCCTATGAGGTCGGCGGCGATGCGCACGGCCGGCTTGGGCCTGTGGACGTATCGCGGTAGACGGGCCCTCCCGCCCGCCGTCCCGCAAGACGCCCTGGTGGGCTCTCCGCCGCTGCTGGTTCCTTCTAGGGGTCCTCGCTCGCTGTACTCAGAGCCATCTACTAGGGCACAGTTGTGCCCCAGATGCTATTCTATAGCTCCGTCTGGTTTATGCCCGACGGCGACCGAGGCGTCGCAGGACCCCAGGAGCGCGTAGTTAGGATACTCACTCGGATCTAAAAACAGGCCGCAGTTGTTATCTCGAGCGCTTTCCGACGCATCTCCGCAGCCGCTCTCAACGTGGAGCTGAACCTCTTTCCCGTCGAGCTTGCCCTCGACTTTGCTAACGAACAGGCCCTCTAGCGCCTATGCCGCAGCAGGATCTACCCAACCATCGAATCTCTACGTACGCAATTTATGCCAAAAATAACTTTGCCAAATACCACAACTGGATCCCTCTCCGCAAGCTGGCGTACTGCTGGTAAGACCGACTACCCGAAGGCAGCTGCAGGGCACTAACTGAAGCGAAAGCGAAAGCGAAAATGTTGCCTCGGTAAGGTTACAGTAAGGCTTTCCTCACAACAACGCGTAGGTTGTGGCGCAGACGAAGGCAGAAATGAAAAAAGGCGTGAAAGCGCGCATGTGCGCAGCGGGCAAAAAAACTAAAGCGGAGAAGCCCGCCTTCTTAAGAAGGCAGGCAGCTCTAGCCCACGAAGTTTCTAATATATATATTATCCCCAAAGCCACATGCCAACGGTCACAAGCCAACACCCCATAGATATTAGAAACTCACGTGGACTAGAGCATTACGCACCATTACACCCATCATCGATGGGTCTTTGCCGGACAGCCCTCTTACCCGGCGCAGCGATTAAGTCTGCGCACGGGCCCCTCAATTCTGGGAACCCTCGCCTAATTTCAAAGAGAGGTTCGCATTTGACGATACGAAGGTCTCCCACCAAAGCCGGGATTTGAACCCTTGGCCTTGTAAATTAGATCTCAGAGCGCACCAGGTCAGCCACAGAGTCTTTTGTATGCCAAGACATTCGCTTTTTCAATATATATATGTGATGGCGATCTCCCGGGGGGGCCCTTGCTAGCGCCGGCGATCTGCCGCGTACCCGCTCCCGCTCCCGCCCCCGCATCGCCTCACCGTCCTTGCTCTCGCCACATAGTCGCATCCAAGCCCTCTGTTTACCACATCGCGTGGTGTTGAGTCGCGTTTTGAACGCCACGTGGGGAACCTCACCAAATTCTGCAGCGCGTCTTCACGGATTTGCAAATCAACAGACTTCCAAATCAATCATTACACATGTCATCAAATTCGGAGCGCTTTTTTCTTTCTTTTTTCTTTTCTTTTCTTTGTGTATGGTGTTGGGCTTTTTAAGCGCAGAGAGCGCCCTCCCACGCTTACTACTACGTCCACAGTCCTTTCCGCAGAAAAGCTTGCTTCATCCTTTTGTACATACCCTTTCGTCCACTGTCAACTTATTTATTTTCTCAGTCATAATAGCCTCTTATTTAGTAAACATTGCCTCCTTGAGCGCTCCCACCGAGTGGAAACAACCAGTCACTCCCCCGGAGCGGGCTCGCGTGCCTAAATATTCCTAAAAACGATCCGACTTGTTTTAGATACAGCCCCGATCGCCTCAGGAACGACCTAACCCGTATCTTTCTCCGCAGCCATCTCTGCGGCCCGCCGGCGCGTCATGCGCCCGGTATCCACGACCTCAATAAGCTAGGCCTTCTTCTTTCCGCGCGGCGCAGTCTCGTCTACGTCTATCTTCCTCCGCCGATTGTGTGAGATCTTGCGTAGGGAATAGTTGTGTCGAGGCCGCGGCCGCAATAGTATCGAAGGTGGAGGTAGATGTGGAGGCTCGTCGATCTGCGCGATCTAGCGGCCGATGTTGAGAGCGGAGAGCGCGTGGTGGAGGTTCTATAGGCGCGCGAAAGCATTAGAGATAAGAGGTTGGGCAACCCTATATCGGACGTAGTGATAGAGTTTATCTTGCAGAATTATGGTGGGAAGGATATGGGGAGAAACGATGTGCGGGAATGTTGATGTAGACATAAGGTATGTTATGTGTTGCGTCGCCGACGTTGGCCGGGTTCGGCTCTGTAGCGATAAGAATTAACTTCCGACGCGATAACTCCACGACTATGGCCTACGGTCAGGCTACCGTATCGGTGGTGTGTAGCTAGGATTCGCTCTTTGGTACGGCTCAACTGCCTCCAACTGGCCTGTATTTACTCTGCCTGCGATTTATAGGGAGTACGCTTCCTGGCGTTTGACATACGCGGCTAGATAAGATTGGGGATTAGGGAACCCTGCCCGCCCGTCTATTAAACTAACAACAGCTAGTACCCACGCGCGTATCTACCCAAAAGACCTTGTTCCGCGCCACTACCTCTGTGCCCTCGTCGAAGCTCAAATAGTTGATTACGCCGTCCCCTCGGTCATAGCTACTTTTCCCCTCTACCTTGACGCCCTCTACACTGAAGTCCGCATCCATCCCGCCACTGCATCCCGTACAATCCACCACACCGCCCACGCCACGCTGCGTCGGAAACCCATCGCGCTGAGCATTGAGACCAAGACAGCTGTCGCCAACAAACACGAAGCGAACGGCTAGCTAACCGTATGGATGGCGGCTCACCCGGACCGCCTGGAGCGCCTACGCCAGGGCTTGCCGCTGGAGACGCGGGGGGTCGCTAGCGAACGTTTCAGTGGGGGATCGTCAGGGCTCTCCCTCCCTGCTACCACATCACCACCGCTAGCTACACAACTACTCTACCACTGTCGCGTCCACCCTTCCGTGATTCTCTCCCTTGCAGTTGTTAGATTTCGCTCGCCTAAGGCCGCCAACGCTTCTCCTCCGCGCCCGGCATTCCCACTGTCGCCTGCCGTTGCCGGACTGGGCAAAATACCGCGTGTCGGTCGACGAGTACCGCGAGCTACTAGACCAGATTAAGGAGGGCAGCGGCTTCGCCGAGTGGGCCAACGACACTATGTAGTACGATTATAGTAGCACCTTCGAGGAGCTTATTCTTCGTATAGGCCCGCCGCTGGCTCTCCACAAATGCTTGGCCGTTAGCTTCATCAAACGGATAGACGGTAAGCTGGATGAACTAAAGGCCGTATCGCCTGGGCTAGCCTCCGCGCTCGCCGATGTAAAATCCCCTGGCAATGCCTTTGTCCGCCTTAACACTGGCGCTAAATCCGACACCGAGACCGATACTGACGAGCTTAGTCTCGATGCTAACGTGCCTACGATACTCCCCTTGTCACCCTTTACATTGCCTTCTATATTAGTCTTGCGTAAAGACGGAAGGTCGCTAGACGGGCAGTTATACCATTGCAAAGTCCGCCGATCCTCCCTTATTGTCGAAGCAGGCTATAGTTAGAACGAAGTATTTCACCCTACGACTTTTATCTACGCTCCGTAACTAATCCATACTCTAGGCCTTCCGCAGCGAGATCGGGCAGCACCTCCCTGGTACCCTTAGTTAATCTCCCTATCACGGACTTCGTCCCTCCAGCCATCCTCGAAACCTTCCCGCCAGAAACGTTTCTCCTCGCCAAGACGACTACCATCGACCTCTCGTATGCCGACCTCTGCGCTGACCTCGAGGATACAGAGGGGGTACACCGGTGTAACACGAGCGGGAAGGGGATACCCGAGCTTCCACACAGCGACGTTCCAGGGTTTGGAGTTTGGATTCCCTGGCTGCAAATGCCGCGCGTCTCTGCTGACTACCGTACGGAGTATGCGCGTGCCTGAGCCGTTGACGTTTCTGATTGCACTGCAGTTTGCCTACCTGCGACGACAACTTCACCTCCTCCCACCTCCGATCGGCCATCACACGCGCACACCACTCATCCGTACGCCGCCAGCGCCTAACGCGGGGCCTTGGGATTCTGAGCTGCCGCCGTTCGCAATACCAACTCAAGCTCTTCCTACGTTCGATAGAGCATCTATACAACATAAGACACTTCCACCAGCGCCGAGATTAGGGATCAGCGCCATTAACACTTATCCTGTGACGACAACTTGGCTTCTCATTATCGGCGCTCCCGCCGTCACCGATCTACTGCACTCTATAACCTGTGATCGATTCCACGGCACCGGCTCGAGCTTTTATTGCCTTTGATAGGGCATCCATGTTACACAAAGGGCCTCCGCTGGTTGGGTTTAAGGTTTAGAGGTATCACGTACTGCGACTCCGACTCAACTTTTCCCCATCGACCGTCCAACCACACCGCACACGCGCACTGCGCACTGCACACCACCGCTATTGGAGTGTGGAGATTGACACGCAAGTAACCGATAACGTCAGCTCTACTTTCCCCACCTTGGACTGGTCCTCCATACCTCGCCGCCCCGGATGCATCTACGGTTGCCACATAGACGAGTATCTACATGTTCTAACTAACGCCATGGATAGCCTAAATAATCTTGTTACGATAAGTGCTATTACTGGATGGGTCTATATAGTGTTATCAATAGGCAAAGCTTAGGGCTTCTAGGGGGCTGTTAGAGAGCACGCTGTGGTTCTGCTAGGTTATCCGCGCAGATACGGCTATGTGGGCACAGAGGCCTTCTTGTGGTGAATCGTTCTCGCTCCGCGCAATTTCTTTGCTTTACGGCCGCCATCTAAGTTTTGCTATATTACATACTGAGAATAGTAAAGATTACATAGTTCTACATATTTGCCAGTGATCCATTTAAACTCCACGTTCTTTCTGGTTCCAAATAAAACAAAGAAACTGATCCGCCCGCCTCTAAGCCTGTATATCTATTAGAGTGGCTCGTACTATGATCCTCTTAGCCGGTCACTTCTGTTGCTTCCCCGTCTTTGTTAAGACTTTTTCCCGTACCCTCTGGGCCAAGCTTGCTATTGGACGAGTAAGCCGTGACAAAAGTCCTCCCGAAGCAGCCCCACCTCTTCTATTTTGGGACTGCTCACTTTTTCTAGACTGCCGACGATGCTGCTTATCAGGATCAGAGGCCTGGAGGTTGCTACCTACGGCCGCTAAATTGTTTCCCGCGATGGAATTCCTGTCCACTAAATTCTGATGCTGCGAGGAAGCGGTTTCCAAAGCGGATGGGCTAGGAGAAGGTGGTTGTTCCACTGGAGTGTTGTAGGTATTAAGGTAAGTGCTGCTTTCCTTCGTAGAATCCTTGAGAGATGTAGAATCGGATAATCGTTGACATCTTTTCCGCCTTGGCTAGCTTGCCCTGTTTACGGTAGAGAAGGCCTAAGTTGTTGACCGTGGAGAGCGTCGACGTATGGCCCGGCCCGAGTGCCTTCTCTCTTCCATCGAGCGCCCGCCGGTACATCTTCTCCGCCTCGGC